ATGTCACGCGCGAAAACACGCTATAATATCAAAGCGGTGCCTAACATTGTCGAAGCAACTTGCCTCCGTACACTGCGCGCGTGCTTTCTAACAGTCCACTCCGTGAACCAGATGAGCTTTCGAGGGAAAGGGTAAGCGGAGCGTTGGCGCAGCGCTCTGGTTTAAGAGTGGTTTTCCCTTTCTGCACTGACCTACTTGGAACGGTGTATACTCCGCGACAACTTTTCTTGGCAATGCAGTGGAAGGTGCAGGCCCGCGTCCCCCCTCCCATTTTGAGTGTGCGCAGGCTCTCCTCCTCCCCCATTTCCGGGGAGAGGAGGAGAGCCTGCGTACACTCCAGATGGCTTTCAAGGAAGAGAGGGTTTCCTTTTTTCTTTTAAAGCACGGATGTCCCAGAGACTATCCTCGTAGGCAGTCGTAATCTCTCGTAACATTGCGCGGCGTAAGAAAACGGGGCAGCGTGAACCTAACACACGGGAGCCTTTCCTTGCGTTTTCTTACGTTACTTACCGCAACATTAGTGCTTGCAGTATCGCGTGCGAGCCTACTCGTTCAAGTGGTTGCCACGCTTTATACGAAGTACGGATGTCTCGTTGACTCTCGCCGTAACCCGACGCAAGCTTTCGTAACAAAGCGTAAAGCCTGGTTAAGACAGTTGCGTTTGACTGCGTTTGACTGCGTTGCGGCAGCGAAAAACCAGGACATCCCTGCTGTTTGTATCGCGTGCCATGAGGATTCCTTGAATTGGAGTCCACGCTTCATACGAAGCACAGATGTGCCGGTGACTCACTTTCGGTACTCGACGCAACGCGGTCAAACGCACTCAAACGCAAGTGTCTGAACCGGCCCTAACGTGGCAAAACGGCGTTGCGTGAACCGGCCTTAAAAATGAGTAAAAGTTATTACTACGCAAATGTAATAACGTTTACATCAAAACAGCAACTCGGACAAACCCTAATTTGGAAATCACGTGCCGATTATTGGAAGGTTGGATCCACTGCACAATGGCGGAACAACTGCATCGAGGATCGAGCAAGAATTCAATAAGATGGTGAATGTCGGAGCGCGGTCAACACTACGAGTCGACGATCCAAAGCAACAGCGTCAAAAGTGCAACGTCACTGCTCTCATCGCACTTTTTGTAGGTCGGTTTTTTCAGTGTTCCGTGATGTGGAGGTTTTAGTCCGTCATTGTGTAGGAATTCCACAGCTGCCAACAGAGGGCAGTATTTCGAAAAGGATCTATATAGATGAATCGGAATTACATACCCGTCTACCGGATAATATACCCAGAAAGCTAGAAACCTTGTATGCCATAGGCCCTGTAGTATACCCTGCACCAGAAGCTAGAATTGTGTTCTTGACCGGACTGATACCAAATTTCGTGTGCGCATTTTTTGAATTAGCGACAAACATTCAAGAACGTATCGCTAAATGTATAAATAACATTGACTTTTCGTAAATTGTATTTATCGGTCTAATCAATATTAGTCATTGACTTTAAAACTGCAGTTGTGACAAAACTCATAAAACTAATACCTAAACAGTTCATTACGCAATTTTAAATAGTTAGTCAATGGATCATGATGAATACTGCCCCTTCTAATGTCCACGAGCCCTTTCAGTACACAGTGAAGACCACCTTTAAAAAACAAAATCGTTACATGTAAAAGGAAACAGCCTGTACGCGCTAATCAACAACCAAGAAAGAGTATTTTGTCTCCGCAGCCAAGGACGAGAAGGAGCGCCTGTACTTTCAAACTGTAAAAACAAAAAAAAAAAACAAAAAAAAAGTTAGGAATGTTAACAAGGAAACACGGGTAACAAAAGAAAGGGTCGACGAAACCCCTTCCAATCCCATTCCTGCCACTCTGCCGCGTCAGCTCAAACCATTCTTGTCGCATCGAGGCCAAAATTTCAAGATCAGAATCCACCAGTTTAGAAATACCTGGCTCCGACTCGGAGAAAACTCGGTTTGAGGATTCTGAGAATTGGGAATTCGAAAGGAGATGAAAGAAACGCTTTTGACCGAGCTGGGGAGCAAACTTTAGGCCACAACAGACTCACAAAGGGCTTTGGAGAAGCCAAATCTAGGTCACTGTGGCTCAATAAACCCAGCAGGATCGAGCTTCCTTGGCTAGAAAGTGTTTGCTCTCGCTTAAAAACGTACTCGAGGTTCATGTCAGAACTCATAGAACCAGTGATTTCCGAGCGTCGGGGTCATAATCTTCCGCTGACGGAACCACTCTAGCTTCAGACAAAAGGTGTAGAATCCGGATGACTTCGCCAGCATTTGGCTAGCTCCAAGCGCAACGTGGCATTCAAAAACATCAAGAGTACATACAAAGGCGTGCGTGATTTGTGCTATCCTTTTGGACTGCGTTTTGCTCTTGCCTTGTTTCCTGTTTAGTGTTCGGTCACTTGGCCCTAAGTTTGTAATTAGTTCACCTTAGGCCTGTAGTTTGAAGATCTCCAGTTCCGAAGATTGTTCCGACGATAATTTTTGAGTACAATATAGGGAAAAACGTAACTAGAATAAAGCAAAAAATACTGTGGGCGTAATGTATTTGGAAGATACCGAAGTACTACCCAAAGTATTTTGAATACAGTATCTTGAGTAGAGCATTTAAGAGGCACAAGTCTGTTGTATAGTGGATGGTTCAGCTGCGGGTGCCCACATTCTCAAATGGCAGCCTGTGATTGACGCGACATATCAGCCGTCCCAATGCCATGGAGGACTAAGTTTGCTGGGACTTGTCCTCGTCATTCCTCTATGATAGTCCCCGGGAAAACGACCCTTGCGTCAGAGTAACTCTAACCAGTTATCGTTGTCTTGTGTGACGCGAACCTCAGAAGCAAATCTAGTTCAACGTCCCAAAAGGCAGTAGCCAAGACTTTGCCGACTGTTTTTTCTGTCTTAGACATTTGTGGGGTGGGCATCAAAGTGACCTTCATTTTGGACTGAAGATCACTTTGATATGTCTCATCTCCAGTCACCGAACCATAAAAAATATTCACTTGGTCTGCACGGAAGACCCTTGAGTTTTCTTAACAGCACTAGAGCCTCGTGACCTTTTGATAGGGGGGTAGTTATCATTTGAGCCCGTTCTCGTTTCGACCTTCTCACTTGGCCCTTTTCAAAACAACCACTCTCAAAAAGATAATCTCTCTTGGACCTGTCGCATTTGGCCCTTTCCCGTTTCGTCTTTCGCATTCCAACCGTCCTCATTTGGGCCCGTTCTCGTTTCGCCCTTTTCACCTGACAATTTTCAAAACAGCCACTCTCAAAACTATCTCGCTTTGACCCGTCGCACTTGACTCTTTCTATACCAATATCGTTTTTAGGGCAATATTAATACATACATTGTTATAATATATGTCTGTGTGCGTGTGTGTGTGTGTGTGTGTGTGTGTGTGTGTGTGTGTGTGTGTGTGCCACGCTACAGGCATACTCCCTCTGCTAAGGATTTTAGCAGTGCGTCGAGGTCGTCGTGAAAGGCTACTAGCTGACAATAAAACAGACCAACTATTTACCGCAGCCAGATCATATTCCGAAATGTCATGTTGTTTGAGGTCCCTGGACTTGGGACAATGCCACTACTTCTATAATGCAGTGGTTCTCAAAAGGGGGTCTGCGAAGGCATCCTAATGGACCGCGAAGCCCTGTCTCATCAGTCAGGCACGGCAATATTAGTTGTCTTACTTCACTTTGAGAAATGTTACCGTTTTCGGAAGAAAACTTTGTGTGTATGTCAATCAGGTAAGTCTACATCACACTAGCAATTAGTCATATTCATTTATTAAATCATTATCATGATAACCTATACCTTTCTATTCCCCTCACCCCGAACGGGGTCCTCCATCATCTCCGCCTTTCTACAATGGGTCCGCGAAACATTAATGGTTGAAAACCACTGCTATTATGCATGCTATTTCTGTTCAAACAGTTTCCAAATTAAATGTTCATCCCTTTTTTTTTTCTCGTTTGCTTAGAGGAAGGGAAGCAGGCGTCAATGTACGATTCTCAGTGTGCATCTCTACACATAACATATATCTGATGGTATGTTGGGGGCTCAAGCAAGGTAAGGCTTATCAACAAAACCGCGAAGGCATAACGACGTTGGAAGCATGCCGAACTAGTGCCATTCGGTCGTAGCGCGAACGGGCGAAATAAGAATGGGTCCAGTTGCGAAAAACACGATTTGGATCTTATGAGAAGGTTTAAACGAGAAGGACCAAATGAGAATGGGTCGAAATAAGCAAGGTTCAAATGCGAATGGGACGTTTTGAGATACACCCTTGATAGGGCGTCAACATTCTTGAAACACAACCTGCGCGAGCCTATGATAACTTTTTTGTTATTTTACAAAATAAACTTATCGAGATGGCCATTTCTTCAGCAATTCGGGAAGCCTTAATTGCAATGTCTGACAAAATTGACTATTTGATTTTCCTTGCTAGTTTCTATGGAAGGTGCTTCCACAGGCGTCCAGTGTGAGGGTTATTTTCAGCGGATTCTCTACCCCACTTAAGCTGCTTGCTTAAAAATTATACTTTGTACGATGATGAGAAAGACTCGCTATAAACACCAATCATGCACTCATAAATCTTTTTTTTTTATTTCCCTTTTAAAAAAGAAATTGAACGCCGAACGTTGCTCCTAATCCAGCACTTGCTTACCTGATTCGCACTATTACCTTCCTGATATATCCTCTCTCTTAGAATGCTAGACTCGCACTGGGCCTCAGCTCAGCTGCCCAGACTTTTTTTAACACATTTGCTGTTTAACTTTCAGGCCCAGGCAGATAAATCATCGAACGCCCATCATAAGTTGCTACATAATGAAAATCTCCAAGGCGTTTTGAATAGTTAAGTATTTGTTCTAAAATTAGCGTTTTACATGAGATGCGGAAAGCCTAAGTACACGTGAGACCAGTGAATGTTTTCTAAATAAAAAGAAAAACGTGCGCGGTAATAGCCACTCTATCTTTTTGTTTTCAGTTCCCGACGCAAGACATTCTCGTACTTCAAGGAAATCGGTGTGGATGGCCCACCACCAAACCTCATTTGGGGAAACCTTTGGGAATACCACAGAAAGGTGAGCGGCCGACCACGTGAGACACTTTATATAGACAGGCACGATCTTTACAAGCACGCCTCAGCGTTTGTCCACACAATGCGTGGGCGCTGCGCGCGCGCAGAAATCAGATTCTTGCGAATTGAAGCGTCTCTGCGTGCGCAGGGCCGACAGCAGCGCCAGCGCAGTGGCGTGACGTCAGATGGATAGATTGATGCCAACGGCTGTAGCCATTAGAACGGGCAGTAGCTTGCGCCACCTAGCCTCGAAATCAAATAAAACAACACAGTTATGATTTCTCCTTTCTGAGTCAATTTGCTTCCTCGCTGAAATTTTGTTACTGTCACCAGGGGGTTTGGGATGTCACCAGGATGACCTTTGGGTCATTTTGGTGTCGAATACCTGTCGAATACCTTAAAGGGTTGCTCGAGGTTTCAGTCCCATGGAAGTTAGAAGAGGCTAAAATGAAACCCCAGTATTTTTTTGTTATCTGCAATCTTTTGATATTTTGAGTGTACACTTTTTGCCACGTCCTTTCTCACCAATTTTGGTCTGCTTTGAGACATACACGAAAGAAGAGGAACTTTATTACCTCTTTATTTTTAAAGTATGTTGCTGAAACGCCTATTCAGAATGCCGTTATTGCTTGCGATTTCGATGTGTCTTTTCTTTGCTTTGTTTGTCGGATTAATACATTTTATTCGTACTTTTAAATTTCGGGCATAAATACCCAGACCTACGATGCCTTCCCACAGAATGTAGTATATAGTTCGTGTAAATAAATACATTTTTGGAGTTAGTTTTCGTTTCAGTCTAAAATATGAAATCCTAGTTATCGAATGGAAGTATAACTTCAACCAATTTATGATCGGTCATTTTTTGTTTCTATTTAGTTCTACTTTTTGAAAGAACCCTGAATTTTGTCTTATGAATGTTTTTGTGACATTATGTCACACTGCTAACCTGGTGACACTAACCTGGTTTTCTCTAGCATAATAACATATGAAGATGATATAATCTTGATTCTTTGGGATATTAATGTCCTGTATATGGAATTAAGAATATTTCGTGGTACCCCTTAAAGTCTGAAGTTATGTTATTTGCCCTAAATTGTTAAACTACCTTCAATACATTCTATATTACTTATGGTGATAAGTGCAGTCATGGCCAAAAGTAATACGAACAATAGAACAGCGGTTGTACAATACCTATGGTGACTCATAGCGGCGAATGTGGGCAGTGCTTAAAGCAACTAACCTGTTCTTTTCTTATTTATTGAGACAAATCATATCTCTCTGATAAAACGACCGCTGTGCCACCTTTGCACTGTGCTCTCGAATGACCTACAGCGAGAATGATGCGGCTTTTTGAGAGTATTTCGTTTCCCCGTGGTGACAAAACTTGTAGCCGCAAGAGTTGAACATTCTATTGACAGATTCTGCCTAGTCATTTGATTCAAATAATCCCAATTCATTTTAGAAAGGGCGTTGTTTCCTGGCACCGCGGCTTGTGAGCTGTCGATGCGATCATTTTTATTTCCATCAAAGACGACCTCCGTTGATTGAAATACAAAAAAGACGCGGTGAAATCACCCTGCAATGCGGAGGACAACGCTCAAGTTTGCGTGCTTTTGTTTTCACGCAATCCCTGACAGCCCTTTGTTTATAGACGCTTTGCAGCAGCGGTGCATGGACGCCGCCATAACTGACCTTCAGTTTTTGTTTCCTCTTATTTCGTTTATTTCACTTCATCATTACCATAGCAGGCCAGCTTATTGCCATATTAGATTCAACTGTGTCCTTTTCTAAAGCATCGGCCTTTGTAGAGGATCGTCAAGTACCGTTTCAGTTGCTCGGCATCTCGGTAAGACAAGAGAAGGTCAGCAATGGCGGCTGTAATTTGGCGCGTGTGTAAAGCGTCTATAAGGGGCGGCGGATAAAAGCTCACCGCGAAACCGGCAAATGCGGAGAAAAGCTCACAGCAAAACCGGCAGATGGGAGAAAAGCTCACAGGCCTTTGAGCGGATGCAAAAAAAAAAGCGCACCGATTTTTAAAATGTTTTCCTTAGCTTAACGGATTCTGCGTCCCACGTGGCAATTTAACACAATTCGAATTCGTCACTTTATTAAAAATATATCATATTTTTTGTAATATTATTGAAGTTCATTGGGCATATTTACTGATTCCTCAGAAATTAGTAATCACCCATTTTGCATATTAATGAAGCCGCAAGTATAAAATCACAACATCGAACACCGGTAAGAAAGACAACGATTTATTGACAGCTGACAGCGCGCCGTCGGTAGCTCTGTCAGATAAAGAGGTTTTTATGCGAGCTGATATGAATATCAGTGTGTGAACCGCTTCAGCTTCAAAGATTGTGCAGTGCTTGATAGATGAGTACGCGTTTGTTGATGTAATCAGTGTCGGCTACGCTGTTTTTTTTTCTGTTCATTTCACTAACAAAACTTTCGTTGCGAGAACAGCTTCGTCCTGTCGTGTTTGTTGTCTTCACTTCGCCGTCGTCGTTCGAGCGGTTTTCATCATGTATAACGTTTACCAACTCGCTCAATTGGCTACCTTACAGAAGACTAGTTCTTATAAAGGTCACGAGTAACAACGGTGACAGTGTGCAGCACTAAAGGTCATGGGTGGCTCGCCGTAGAAGGGCACTATCACGCAAATGCAACGTGTGGAAAAAGCAGAACGAACGGCTAGAAAACGTGCATGTCTGTGGAAAAATGAAGCCTCGGTATCCTACCGACTGATTTATCCTGTTTTCAAAGGTCGACAAAAGCTTCAAAGAGAATATCAGGCACCGCGTTGTTGCGCATGCGCTTTCGGATTTTCAGCATTTACATTTTTTTATTTTTAGGTTTTAGGCAGACATTATTTTTAAGTTTTCGAACTTTTTCCTGTTCTTCAAGCTCATAAAGTTTTCAGTTAGGCTTTCGTGGCCTAGAGAGTAAACCGGAAAAAACACTTGCCCGCATTTATAAATTTGGGAGGAATATACCCAATAAGCTTAACAAATTATACAAGAAAAGAACATTTCCTTTTTTACAAAGTTGACGAACTTTAATGATAATAAATTGATATATGTTACGCATGATCCAACTGCCTTCAAATAAAAAGAAGAAAAAAAATCGGTGAGCTTTTCTCCGCATACGCTCAATGGCCGGTTGAGCTTATCTCCGGTGAGCTTATCTCCGGTGAGCTTTTCTCCGGTGGCCTTTTCTCCGGGATTCGTTTATAAGCCGAAGCACAACAAGGGTGCGCCTATCATCAAAACGTCAAGTGCCGCGCCACGTGTAGCCAAGAGTGAAGATAATTACCGGCGAAAAACACCGGAAAGTAGGTTGTTCAGAGATAAGATAGGGTGGCAAGGTTCAGAGATAAGACAGGAGGAAGATGTCGCGGAGGCCGTCATTGTGTTTCAGCTGTGTTTTCGTTACCTGCAGTCGTTTTTTTTTTTTTTTTTTTTTTGTCGTGTTTAATATACACCAGCTTGTTTTCACCCTAACATTTATCTGAGAAACACCGATATCAATATCGCCGTAGAAATATCGCCAACTTCCAAGAAAAACTTCCAGGACGGCACACGTTCCGCTGTTGGCATTGACGTCTGCAAGTACGGCCTTTGGGTGCCGCCATTTTGCTGCTGGTGTGGGTAGATTGCCTGATATTCAAGCATTGCTGAGGACGTGTGTGCGCCTCAGCAATGCTTGACTATCAGAAGATCTGCCCATACCAGTAGAAAAATGGCGGCACTTTGAAGCCGTACTTGCAAGCGTCTATAACTAGGTCTGGCATTCGAATATTTTGTATCGCGTAAATGATAACTTGTTTGAACAATGTTCCTGACGGAATGGGAATTTACTTGTACAGCTCAAGAAAACGAGGGTGTGGGAAGACATTGAGGCACCCTAGGTTGCCCTGTTCCAGACTCTAGCACCGCAATTCGTTCTTCGACGGTCTACTCAGCTGATGCCCCAGTCTCAATGTCTGCGAAGGAATAAGATGCTTGAGACCACTCACGACGCCCCGCGTTTCTTATAGACCGACACGATGTATTGGCGACGTGTGCGATCGAAAGCGTCGCTGTGGTCGGCCTTCCACGAATGGCCGAATGCTGACTATGACGTCAGCAAAGGATTTCTCATCGACGGAATTAAGAGGAATAGAAGAACTTCAATTTCGACGGTGTTGTTAGTGTTTCTTTAAGAGTGACATGATTTCAAGCTTCCACCATGCTCCTTACAAACACCATCGAACTTGTTGTTCGCAAGGTAATGACGTCACGAAAGGTAACCATATGAGGGCGCCACTAAAACATCTCGCCACAGCCCACACTAGCTGTGGGCACTCCGCGTGCGCAGAAACCACATTCGCATGAATTGAAGCATCTGCGCATGCGCAGTGCCGTCGACTGCGCCACCGCAGCTGCGTGACGTCAGGGCCGCGTGTTGGTCTATACACGAACTCATGTTTACAAACAAACCGGAGCGCCCCTAGTGGACGCCACCGGCGCCGCGCATGCGCGATGGGGGTGTGGGCAACAAGCTCGCTGTAGCCCATAAACAAACCATTAAAATGGGATGTTTTCGGTGTCGGTGTGAGTCCCCCTGCCCTTTTTCGCGTTCGAATTGTTGATTCTACGTCTTCCTGGTGATGTCTCACTATCTTGAGCGGCGTCAGCGAAATTACCGAGGCTCGTTACAACGCAAAACTTCGCGTGAATAATGTGACATGTGGCGATTCACTCCGCGTGGACGCCGCAGTATGTACGCTAAAGCCTGATTCGCATGATGAGATTTCGCTCGCAATTTTCAGTCGTGACGCCGCTCGGGCTGCAAAAGCGTGAACCGTAGCTGAGATGGTCGACGTCGATAGTGAAAATCGCAAGCAGAATTGGACCAAGTGAATTAAGCATAACAAGTCGGTGATGGTCACTGGTAACAATGACCAACATCTCAGTGCATCTACTGTTTACATCGAGCCTGTTTACCAACCTTCAAATTTAGGTTATTTGAAGCCTGCACTTACTTCTTATCGAAAGTACCGGGCCAACATTTGGTCTACGGGCTGGCGTCGTCTAAGAGAGCAGACGACAAGCAGAAGCGTTTGAAAGTGCAGACAGTTCGAGTGATAAGGCGGCCGTTTGAACTTGAAGATACACTGAACGTAGTCCGCAGGTGGTCCGCACAACTTGACGGCTTTCTGGCGTTCATGTTAGAACAAAACAAATAAATCTGATGACCAAAAGTATCCTTGAACTCAACCCAAAGCGCTTCCTGCCCAAGCAATCGTTGCCCGACGGCGTTTGCTTTTCCCTTTTCACGGCACATACCCAGATTCTTATACGAACCGAGCACGTGAAAACTGACCTTCAAACCTTTCTCGACACTTTTGGTGTGGCCCCAGTCGCCGCGTTTTGACGAAAAGGAAGGTTTTTGTCAGGTTCCTTTCAAAACAACGCAGGAATACACGTCTGGCATGGGGACTTCTGCCACAGCCCCAGACCGGAAGTGCGACCGACGCTTCCACCGCGCCGTGACGTCACATAGTTGAGTTCGTGTATAGACAGACGCGCTGTTTACAAACAAACCCCCGCTTCCCCTCACCAGGTCTGGGCAATGCGCGGGCGCTGAAACTGGATTTGCGTGAGGGGATGCGTCCGCGTACGCGCAGAGCCGACAGCAGCGCCATTGCAGCGGCGTGATGGCAGAGCGTTGAGTTGGCGTATGCCCTAATTGAATCCCGGACAAAAGCTCACCGGACAAAAGCTCACCCATTTTTTCACAGACCCGGACAAAAGCTCACCTGGAGATTATTCCATGTTGGTCTTAACACGAGTGCGGACAACTTATGTGCATGCGTGCGACACTAAAATGCTACGATAAAGTAAATCTGACAGGCTCATGGTTTTTTTATTAGAGTGGAAACAAGTTTCGGTTGGTAAGAAGCGAATGCAGTTCCCTCTCTACCTCCAGCTGTCTTCTTAGATCTGGCTGTACCTGGAACCCCTCGCAAATATTTTTCAGACGATTCTGCAGGCGCAGAGTGGTTTTATGCCGTGGCAACGAAAGCTTGAGTTTGCTGGAGGCATTCATTCAGCCTTCAGACGCTTGGATGGGCGTCGCCGACGAGCTTCTTGAACCCGGTATTTGATCCTTCGAAGGTGTTGTTCGTCCAGTCTTTATCGTGAATGGTGGCGTCGTGCATGTTCCACCGTTCTGGGGAAAACTCCGGTCGTCGTCGGCGCACAGTCAGTTCTGGGTGCCGCCGCAGAAGGAGCAGAAGCATAAAGGAAACGACCGTTGACATACGTGCAATCAAGTAGTACAGCATGTCACCGATGTCACCGGTAGTCCTTTTCCTGGTGTAGGATAGTCCATCGAACACAAGCTGTGGCGGAAGCAACGCCGAGAATATCCGAAATTCCGCACGGCTTCTTAAAGTGGTCGTCTCTCTTGTACTTGTCCAAAAGGCCTACATTCCGTTTCTTTAACATATTTTTAAAAATTGGCAACCGAATGATTTGTATACTACAGTTTTGCTTCAGTTTCCCTTTATCATCACCCTGAGATAATCCTTGATTTCAAATACATTTACGACGCACAATGAAGAAAACAATATAATTTTCTTAGCCATTCATCTACCTCAAATATTAACCTGAAACCTCAAAAAACCCATTCATTAGTAATGAACAGACTTTCTGCTTAACCTTTATGTGCGCGTTTGGCGTGACATATGTACAATGAAAAAGTAAGGTCTCCGAAGGGGGACTTCGCTCCTTCAATCGCTCTTCGGGTTAGAAACTTCGATTCACGAAGTTTCTTCGGCGTGGCACAAGGGTCCTCCGGCATACCTCGAGTCAATCAAGCTTGATCTTATCAGCTCCACTCAATTTCGGTGACCCAATTTTTTTGCCCGAATCGTTGCTTCTCCGCCTATTATGGCGTATCTATTATTGTCGACACCTATGCATGTGATGGGTTCCAGATCTCCTAAAAATGGTGCAATGTTCATCGCGTCCGCACTTTATTCAAGCCCGTGTTTCGGCCTGGTAGCAAAAAAAAATAAAATAGGTGAGCTTTTGTCCGGGTCTGTGAAAAAGAGGTGAGCTTTTGTCCGGTGCGCTTCTGTCCGGTGAGCTTTTGTCCGGTTACCGCCCTAGTTACACGGGCACAGCTAACTGCAGTTACGCTAAGCCACAGTTACACAATATACCCTATTCTTGGACAACTTTCCTTGCGTATGTAGTGGAAGCTATGGGCGCACGTGCGCTGGCGCATCTTGAGCGCACATCGAAGCTGTTAAAGACCATTAGCGGCGAGATGTTTCGGTGGCTTCCTCGTTTGGTTACCCTTCGTGACGTCAATACCTTGTGAACAACAAGTTCGATGGTGTTTGTAATGGGCATTGTGGAAGCCTGAAATCATAGCGCTCTCAAAGCAACACTGCCAACACCGTCGAAATCAAGTTCTTACATTCCTCTTAGTTCCGTCGATGAGACATCCTTTGCTGACGTCATAGTCAGCATTCGGCCAATTGTGATGGGCCGACCACAGCGACCCAGTAATGGCAGTTGAGGGTGACTTAACGGCGGTTAAGGGCGCACCGTGTAATAGGGTATCACAACTTTCTGCGGCTATGCTGTCAAAGCTATGGGCGCACATGCGCTGGCGCACATGTGCTGGCGCAAGTTGAGCGTCCATCGAAGCTCTGCACGCGCTCTTACCTTTTTCTGAAATAGCTATCAAAGAGTATAGTGTGGAAACTGGTTAAGAGTAAGGGCAGTTAAAGGTGACTTAACGGCTGTAAAGGGTGCACCGTGTAATAAGGTATCACAACTTTCTGCGGCTATGCTGTCAAAGCTACGGGCGCACATGTGCTGGCGCATCTTGAGCGCCCATCAGAGCTATGCACGCGTACTCTTTACTTCTGAAATAGAGGTGCCCGTGCAGCTAGGATATTAAGCTGGCAACGACTATAGAAATGCGTCTGACATCGACCGTCTTACTCCTAAATCACGCAGGGAATCGTACATGCAATCCACGATTGGTGCGAAAAGTATGGCGACGTCTTTGGGTAAGTGTTTACGCTACACCTGTTACTATAAGGGACACTTTTCGAAAGTCTGTCCTCTGATGGTCGTTGTGGAGTCTCTGCACAATGGCGGACTGAAACCGTACGTCACGGCACACTTTATGGGTTTGGTTGGATTAGAAGGCAAAAACACACTTACGCAACGAAGTAACAAGCACAGTGACGTAGCACTTTCGTCGCTGTTTGATTGACTTGTCGGCTCCTGGTGGTGATCGCGATCCGACTTTCGCTGTCTTATGGAATGACTTGCACGTTCCGCGATGTCAGTTGGTCCGCCATTGTGCAGGGGTCACGACCTTCTAATAATGGCACGTGATTTTCAGAAGGGTTCGATAGAGGAAATGATTAGTCATGCCGGTGTCCACGACACCTTTTCACCGCTCATTACCCAGGCTAAACAATGCTGAGTTGCTGGGCTCTGGACGCAAGCGTGGCTTCTAACATTCCGAACAGTAGTCACTTAACATGCTCAGAAGGCGTCTAAGAGCCCAATTGACAAAGATGGCGAAGGACAGTAGGCGGTAATTGGAATGGTCTATACCAGGGGTGGCCAAACCGCGGCTCGCGAGCCGCATGCGGCTCTTTGGTGGTCCAAGTGCGGCTCGCGGATCCCTTGTAAGGAACCCCCCCCCCCCCCCCCACACACACACACACACACTCCCGGCCTCTTTCGGCTTTTCTTCAGGAAAAAAAAGAAGGGATTTCAGGTAGAATAAAGTATGACTCGCGGGTCGGCAACTTTATTACGTATACTTATTGCGTATAAGTGCACAAGGCTGTACTGTCGTACAACCTTGTGCACTCATACGTACAGTCAGACTCTGAACAAAATATAAATTTGCCGCCCCCCTCCCCCCTCTCTCCCTCCCCCCCCCCCCCCCCCCCCCCCCGCGGCTCTTAGAAGTTTCGTGGTTTCGTTTGCGGCTCTTAGGCCGGGTCAGCCTGGCCACCCCTGGCTCTATACAAATCAAATTCAGTTTGGGTGTGCTCAATTATTCAGTTTAGGTTGCATGATTGCGAAAAAGAAAAACAAAACGGCGCGATGGAAATGACGAAGGACAGAAACGAGTACACAGACGGTAAGGTTACTCTCAAGTGTTTATTTTGGAAGTAGCGCCAATCCATCGGCGTGGCCCCACCGAACAGAAATACACCAGATCACATGACCCGTCACGTGTTAAAACAAGTCACAAACGAAGGCTCGCAGACATAACGAGCAACTGAAGGCGTTCTGACACAGGCCTCTTGATTCTTCGAAATGACAAAGGCCTCAGTTACCTCTCTAGTCAACTGGTGACGATGTCGTCCCAGAACTGGGGTTTCATCTAAAACAAAAGTAGAACCGCGTCTACCTAAGTGAAGCGCTGAATTTCCCGCCGGTGATGCCTTAATGAAACTCGCATGCTCACTTAATCTACCATTGATAGGGCGTCCAGTCCGACCGATGTACACTTTCTTAAATGACAGAGGGATGCCATAGATTTCGCCTCCCGCGCTAGGGACAAATCTATTTCTATGCCTGTGAGGGTAAAAGCGCTAAAAACAACGGACAAGTAAAAGAAACGGACAACACAGAGCGCTCTGTGTTGTTCGTTTCTTTTACTTGTCCGTTGTTTTTTAGCGCTTTTACCCTCACAAACATGGATCAAAACTAGCCCAAGTTCATACCCTTCTATTTCTATGCCGTTCACCGCATGCAGGATCGACAGCGCGACCTCTATCCACTTCCGCACTCAAGGCTCCCATCTTAAAAGGTGCCGAGAAGAAAACTGGAACGCCATGTTGTTTCGCATCTGTTTTTCTCCGATGGGTCACCTTATAGATAATAGGCATAACAACGGGTCTCTGCGTAGGTCCCTTACACACAATACCCTCCGGATTTCGCCACCATTTCATGAGACTCTCAGAAACACCTACCGGGAGTCTGTTAGGGTAGCCGTCCTCTAAAAACCTGTCGGCCTGAGAACAAAACCTCGTCACCATTTGGTGGTGACACGACTTGAAAAGAAATTCCCGTAGACAACCAGTTGGGATTCCCTTCTTTATTATTGTGGCTGGAGTGGAACGGAAGTAACACCTTTTTTAGGCATAGGACGGTTGCACCAGCAGACGTGGGACCCAGTGAAAGTTAACGTCTAAAAGCTGTAAAACCCCTCGGTCTATGTACTATTATCTGTCTCTCGTCGTTTTTATCGCTCTTATTTTTCGTAATCATGCTTAACGAACTCAACCAACTTTCCACTCTGTTACAAATAGTTCGACTGATTGAGATTTGATTATACTGTAGATTGGGAGTGCCAGCTATGTAGCAAGCCAGTTACCCAGCTGGCTCGGATGAGCCAGCAAGGTGGCTTCTCCAGCTGTGACGACGCTAGATAAAGTAACCATCCACTTATCTGTCGCCTCCTATCAGGCTCTGTTAGAAATAAGTGGAGACAATGCTTTCGCAAGTGCTTCCCCAGAAGTCTCCCATTCGTGGTCTCTTCATTCTTTATTTTATTATTTTCACCCCTCTCTCGTTCCAATTAGTCGAAAGAGCCCCCGATTTCAAAATAAATTTCTTTAACATCATTTCGGTTGGGCTTCCGCTATCAAAAAGGGTTTTGTGTTTTCGGCTTTTATATATTGTTTGGTTGTTTTTCGTGGTGTAATATTTTCCGAAGATGCGAAGCCTTTTAGTCCTCATTTCTAGTGTTGGACAAATAAATGTTTTTCCGACGTCGGTGACGTGACGGGAAAATCTTGAATGGTCGATAGGGTCATGACGTCATAGCAACGTGACCTCGCGCGGGAATTTCAAACAACCCAAGACACTCACGTGGAATGTGACGTCACACGTTTAATGAAAGTGATTAAAACATGGCATTTAAGGCGAATTACAGGTCGCGGCGCGTCCCGAAAGATGTCACTTTATAGCATATTTGATTTGCCTTAGGGAAGAATTTGGAGAGTTTTAGGCGGGATTCAAACCCACGTAATTTCTGTTTTAAGCCAGACACGCTGCTGCCTGGGCCATGCAAGGGAGGCTTGCACGGCTTATGAGAGGGTGATGCGAACGGGGCCCGATAACGCTATCGCGTTCCACTCTTCAAGGAGAAGCTTAAGCGTCCTTTAAGTCTTTTGTCGGAGTTTTACGTTGAAGAGGACACAGCCATAAGGATTTTCTAACCTCGAGCGAACATGCTCGTGACCAAAATATTTGGGAAAGGTCTCCGTAACGATAAGATAAAAAAAAAACGAGATAGAGAGTGCGCCTTACGCCTGAGTTCTGCGTTAACACGACATGAAACTGCAGATAAGCGTTTTTTTCCCGCGAAAGTCTCAAACTTCATCGAAGTCGAAAGAACCGAAAAGGAAGCCCTCTAATAAGGGCTTCTTTTTCCGTTTTCTTCAATTTCGACAAAACCGGTTCGAAGATTAACCTTCGGTAGAGGTGTGCGACTTCCGGTTCAAATATTGAATAGCGCATCGTCGTCCCTAGCTTTGACATAGTTAAGAAAACCGGTTGTCGCGGCTGTCCCTTCCACTATGAAGCTTGCGAATGACGCGCTGTTATTCGATTGGAACCGGTATTCGCGCACCCCTACTTTTCGGTGTTTTTCGGTTTTTACCAGAAAAACATGACACCCTAAAGACCCTGCCATTTTAAGAAACAGAGGTCGCGGCATAAAATGTTTACGTTTTTTGTTTCATGATTCGTTCCTCTGAGTTTCATTCGTGTAATGCCGCAACGTCATTGGCTGAGGACCCGTCATAAGGTGCTCAAAGCTCCGCACGTACTGCGTTCCCCCAGCTGTCGATAAACAGAGCAATTAAATACGTTATTGTCCAAGCGTATCGAAACACTTCTGTATTGTCAAAGAGTAATACAAGGCACGTGCTCTTTGCTGGCAAATATAAGCGACATTTTTTATATGATTAATTCTCTTTATTGCAGATTTTATAATGGTGACGTTCCCACCCTCGTTGTGAAGGACTTGGACTTTTTGTCGTACGTCTTCATCAAGAACTTTTCAAACTTCATGAATCGAGGGGTACGTAGAGCGCGATTGTTTTTGTTGTTGTTCTCAACATTGTAATCAACAGCTTTGCACGTCCAGCATCTTTGTACCTGGAAGCATCTATTGTAACAAGCAACACCCGACGGTAATGAGGGCCCTGGAGGATCTTTAGACACATTCTTAAACGGGCCATGAATTGATTTTTTTACTTGCGCTAAAATCTCCTCCGAATATTTCCATAACTTTATTAACCAAATAAACTTGACATAGTTTTTTTTTTTTTTTTTTTTTTTTTTTAAGCTTTAAGTTTCTCTAAGTCGGTAATCAGATTGGAGAAATATCAGCATCGTTCTTCCTCTCAACTCGGACTTAGAATAAGCGGCCACGTGGCCTGGTGCCTACTCTATGCCACCAACATTATTCGTAGCCACGCACTGGGGCCACCAAAGTAGAAAAGGCGTACTGAGCTCCAGGCATTGTTAGAGTTTGGCTATTCTCATCACGGCCGTGGTTGGACACGAGCCACTACCCGAGTGTCCGCCGAGGCATTGATTGTTACGAGCCGAAGTGCAGTGCTCACGCAGTTCTCGTGTCCAATACATTAGCCGCGCTCGACTGTCGTCAGGTGGGATGTTTGCATCCCACAATAACGTCACCAAGCTTTGCGAAGTCAAGACTGAAAGAAATAGTCCCCTTTTATCCTCGCAATTTCCCCGCGAGCAAGAAGCTGCTGAATCAGTGACGGTTCGTGAGAGTATACTTGACCAGTACGCCTCTGTAACGTCATGAACATTCCATCCCGATTTCGTATCATGACCCCTTTAACTCGTATTAGACTATATCGTGATATCTGATGGGTATGATATCATAGTATAATTACTATGACACTTTGTCAAAGGAATGATATGATAGTATAATTAGTATGATATCCTGTCATAGAAAAGGTGTGCACGTCGCCAGTTATCAAATCGCAAGTGACATTTGTGTTGCTTGAATGTTTAAACAGCCTTGAAGTTGGTACGCCTCAACAGGTATAGTCTGTCTCTCAGCTTTAGATGAGAAGATTAGCCAGTGCAGTACAACCGCCAACCTGGATTTTTTACGTGCAGCATGCAGTAGTGATCACACGAACACCTGCCGGTACCTACCTCCTGCAGATGGAAACCGGCAGGGAGTCGGGATCGGACACAGAAGGCTCTGCGCTGCAAGCAAGCTCACTCCACGCTCCAAGCTGATACGCGTTAAAGTGATATTTATATCTTGAGATTGTTTTTCGTGTAGCGGTGAATCATTAAGCTTATGCGAAAACGCATTAATACTAAAGTACCCTTTTTTTTTATTTCTTGATAAATGCACGCACTTGTGAATATGTTTTTTTACATTTTGCACATACACACGCTTGTTTATATTATGTAAGCCTGGCAGACCTTTTACTGTGAACGCACTGATTCTGTCCCCTAATTCCGTTATTTAATAAAGCGCAAAAATAAAACGAATATAATTGAAGGATTCCGAAGATGATCTCTCGTATCTCAGAATGGCAGTAAGTATTTTGTCAAAGGGCTGAAATAGCTGTCTCTAAGCGAAGTGGATGATGCTGTTCCGAAACCTTCAAAGACTTGATTTTTTTTCTTTGTTAATGTGCACAGCCTGAACAAATGAGACAAATTCACGACTGTTAATAAATTAACGAAGACATAGTTCGTCATCTTCGTATAATTTGTCGAAATATTTACAAGCTGTTTACGGAAAAAGAACAAACCAACTCGATCAACCAAAGCATGTTTAACGGTGTCTTTTCTTCGTTCTAAAGTCCAAATTGCTATATTTACAGAGCATATCTCAGACCGTCTACTCGTTCTATAGACATTCAGTTATCAAATCTTGCGTTTTCAGCTTCCTCAAGCGTTGTCTGATAACTTTTCTTTTGCGATATGTGAAGGTGACAATGAGGACTGACGAGCAACACGAATTGCTTGGTCGGAGTCTCCTGCATGCGCAAGGGCTCCAGTGGAAGCGGACGAGGAGTTGCGTATCCTACGCGTTCACCGCGAGTAAATTTAAGCAGGTGAGACCAAGCGAGCGGTTCATAATGGGCTATGGACGCTTTGCAGCAGCCGTGCATGGGCGCCGCCCTAACCGACCTTCAGTTTTTGTTTGCACTTGTTCCGTTTGCTTGGCTTCATCATTACTATGGCAGGCCAGGTATTGCCATTTTAGATTCTTCTGTGTCCTTCTCCCCGGCTTTGGCCCTTGTGGAGGCTCGCCAACGCCCGTATCAGTGGCTCGGTATCTCGGTGAGACAAGAGAAGGTCAGCTGTGGCGGCTGTAATCTGGCGCGTGTGTAAAGCGTCTATGGTTGTCCAAAAATAGCTAATAGTAACAGTAACAGTAACACGAGGTGTAATAGTAACATTTGTTTCCCCATCTAAAGCCGCAATGCCACAGGAAGGTGGGTAGCCCGTACCAAGATGCCCATGAGGTACTGCACTTGAAGATGATGGTGGGATGAGTATAGGGGGTGGGGGGCACAAGTGCATGGACAACGACTCCTAGGGGTCAATACATTCGAAAGCGTCAGTTTTCGCTTGCTTGCCGGTAGTGAACTGCCCGGTTTTTTGGGGGAATAGTATGCCTACAAATAACGAGCACATTATATGTAAAATCGAAGCGATAAAAAAAAAAAAGAAAAGCTAAGTACTACCTTTGAGAAGGTCTGAATGTAGTGCTCAATTGCAAGCAGGGCATCTGGCCGCCGCGATGTCTCAGCTAGTGACTTTTACGCACATTATCTATGTGCTTGCACGCATCGGGAACTAGCCAGGACGGTCTGCTTGCAACAGGCACGTTCTCAAATTTAGTGCCACTTAGTGGCTGAAATATCAGTATAACTTTTTTAATTCCTAATGGCGGTAAAAATGCTAGGGATAAACGGGCACCGGCACTTTGGATTGTCAGCAACAGACGGGTATACGTGTTCTTTGCTGTTCAGTTCGCTCTCAATTCTGTGTCGATGATTTCAAGAAACTATCTGTGTGTGCGAGGCGCTCACCTCTAAAAAAATGGTGATTAAATTCACCACATCAAGAGTTTTGTGGGCCGAGTGTGCGTAACCTAATTTGTTAGACGCGAGTTCGAAGTGAACGCAGACAAGGCTCTTGGCTCAATTCGTGCTTCGCATCGATCTAACCTCTAGAATGTTCAGGCTTTGTATAATTTACTACGCTTCATATCTTTAACGTCTTCCTTTATGAGATACCGTAATGCCGCCATTAGCCTGCAATAGATGCGAGAATGGAGGCCGTACACTGCTCTGATCATATTGAACGGTCACAGCGTTTTCTACGTTGTAAGACGAACCGGAAAACTTGGTGCCTGCACATAGGAACCTGGCACATTCACCGATTGTGCATTTATGCGGCGGATTTTACTTTGTCATCATTCAATGCGTAGTTCTCTCTCTGTAAAAAAACAACTAGACTAACAAGCTTGCCATAATCAGCTGCTATCGTGGTCGCAGACGTCCAAGTTAGCAAACAATGCAACCTGTAGTGCCATCTCCCAATACGCGCAGCGTGCAGGCGACTCAGTCTGTTATCGTCTTTACTGCTCTCCTCGCGGGAGATAGCGCCATAATTCATATTCATCGTTAACTCATGCCTGATTCACCTGGTGCGATTTTACTTGCGATTTTGCAGTTTTGGCGTCGGTTGTACGGCAAGAAGAGCGAAGTGGAAGCTGCAGTGTTCAGTGTCGCACCTGCGATATCTTAAGCAAAATCGCACCATGTGTATCAGGCTCCAGACGTCTGCCAACACGTCCGTCGTTGACTTTGGCAACTTTGCTGGTGTAAATATTTTTTTAAAGAGAAGAAACAACACCTTGCGTTTCTTCAAAGTAAAAACCACCACCTAAATGTACATTCGGTGAGATCTTGGGCTTTTTATCTCGAAGCCCCCATTTTTCCGTTCGTTTTACAGTATAGGGAGGACCGTGGTCACCCTATTGTTGTAGAATTGGACAGTCTAAATTTTGAAAGGGTTCGTTGGAGTATGGCTCCTCAGTCATTCACTGGCTCTAATGCATATATCTTAAGCTATCCGTCAGTTTCGTAAGTAGGGTCCTAACCCCAAAGCTTCACTCTCATTCTGCTTCTGCTCTGCCAGCTCTTTCCTCACATGGACAGGTCATGCGATCGCCTTCTTGAGGTAGTGAGGGAGAGGGCAAACAGCGGCAAGGAAGAAAACGTGGGCAATCTCTTCAAACCTCTGACCATGGACTACATCAGCGGGGCGAGCTTCGGCATTCAGACCTCTTTCCAGGAAGAGAAGAACCACCCGCTTTTCTTGATGGCCAAGAAGGTTCTTCCGGGCACCATGACCGGCCCGTTCCACATGATCGCACGTAAGGGCCGTCTTCTCTTGAGAGGCCGGTGTCGTTCATCGGCCAGGCTTGAATGTAGGATGACGGGCTAAGCGTTGCTGCCATCGGAAGTCTATGACTATCCACATAGTCATGTCTGTAACTATATGAATGTTTTAAACATAAGTCATTTCAAGAAACGGAGAACGTGAGTGATTATGTTAACTCATTTTGCTTCGTGATTCTTTCTTTGCGTTCTTATTGACTGAGACCACAATCTTCATGGCTGCAGAGTGTTAATGAAATACTCTGAAGACGCCACCACAAGTATTTCTGAACTATCGGTGACTCTAAGAACTTTACGCATACTAGCAGGGCTGCACCTCATGAGACCATCTCTCATTCTCTGTTCGCATTTACTCACGACCGAAAACAGCCAATATGTGAGCCAATAGAGTCAATGAACTGCACCGAAGCATAATGCCGTGACATTGGTCGTGTTTCTCTGGTCTTTAATTGCCCTCTAATTTTTTTTTTTTTTTAAGGCAAAAGCCTTACTTGTCTTATTACGCGAAAAGGCGGTGGCGTTGTGCCCGAAAGATGGTCACACCAATACGTCATCAAGCACGAGACGCTCAAGGTCAAAGCGAACGCGCCTCAGAAGTAAAACACAAAGAAAAGCACAGCAACGCAGATGCTCAAGGTCAAAGCGAACGCGCCTCAGAAGTAAAACACAAAGAAAAGCACAGCAACGCAGATGCTCAAGGTCAAAGCGAACGCGCCTCAGAAGTAAAACACAAAGAAAATCACAGCAACGCAGATGCTCAAGGTCAAAGCGAACGCGCCTCAGAAGTAAAACACAAAGAAAAGCACAGCAACGCAGATGCTCAAGGTCAAAGCGAACGCGCCTCAGAAGTAAAACACAAAGAAAAGCACAGCAACGCAGATGCTTCGTCATGGAAGCCGTGGAGCCGGCGGGGGCGCCGCGCGTGCGCAGTGGAGAAGCGTGATGTCACCACTGGAGAGCCCTGTGAAAAAGGGAGACGATGAGCGCTGATTGTAGGAATGCGCTGCGTGTATGAATTCTTTCGGATTCTTACACGTAAGCAGTCTTAAGCGTCTGAAGTAAACAGGTCATTGGATTCTCCTGGTACTGACAATCCGAGAGTTCCTAAAGCGGAATACAAATAATTTATTGACGCAATTTGTGTAATTTATATCAGCGATACTTAAATTAAGAGATCTCTGGAGTTGAGCACCCTTGACGGGGGTTTAATAATTTATTTTATTTGTTTATTCAATATACCCTTCAGCGCCCAGAGGCATTACAGAAAGGGGGGGATATACAGCCAGAGGAAAACAATAAACGAACTCTAGGTTTGTGACATAAAGTTTGCTATTGGAAAGAACAAGAAGAATAGTAAGCTTTATACAATACATTTGACATATCAGGAGATAAGGTACAGGCACTATTTAATAAGCCTGGAAAAAAGCAGATTGTTGGATGATACCATGACAAGCGACTCGGGTAGACAGTTCCATTGATGAGTGGTAAGAGGAAAAAAAGAGTGTTTAAAGATATTAGTGTGGCACGAATATTCGCGAACCTTATTCTGATGATCTACCCTGCGTGATATGAACTGAGGCAGCTGAAGGAACGATCCCCTGTTTATGCCTGTTTTGTTATTATAAATATTATGAAAGAGTTTTAAATGTAAAGCGAATCTTCGGCATTTTAGCGGCTGCCAACCAAGACAGTCTCTTAGGAGACTCGACCTTACAGTATAATCATAATTTCCGGTCACGAATCTCGCTCCTCAGTTCTGAACCCTTTCAAGGTCGTCACACAGATACTGTATCTGGGGGTCCCAGAGTACACAAGCACACTCAAGAATGGGCCTTATATTTGTCAAATACAATGTCTCCTTAACTTTACGAGGGCAGTCTCTAAAGTTGCGTCCAAAGAAATACAACATACCAGTTGGTTTAGCGGTTATTTTGTTAATATGGGACTTCCAAGATAACCGCTCTGTAAAGGTTATCCCAAGATATTTTACCTCTGGAGTTACGGTCAGTGTATAGTGCCATTCAAGCTGTATGAGAAAAGCAGCCGTTTAGTTTTTTTTTGTGTGAGGCGCACATGATGACATTTATCAATGTTTAGATTCATATGCGAACTTTCACACCAGTCTGAAATGCGGTCTATATCCCGTTGCAAGGCAGTGCTATCATCAGAGTTCTGAACTGATCGATATATCACACAGTCGTCGGCATAAAGACGAATACTTGACTCTATGCTAATGGTAATGTCAATAATGAAAAGTAGAAATAAAAGGGGGCCTAGGACGGATCCCTGCGGGACCCCCGAAGTGACGTCCACATATGTAGATTTTTTACTGTTTACTACTACGCACTGTTTTCGCTCAGTAAAGTAATCCCTTAGCCACAATAACACATTAACTGGAATATTTAATGAGGATAATTTAAGAAAGATTAATTCGTGTGAAACAGAGTGGAACGCTTTTTTAAAATCAAGAAAAACAGAATCCACCTGAGAACCTCTATTATACGAAGACGCCACATCATGAAAAAATTTGAGTAACTGCGTTTCGCACGAGAAGCCGCTTCTAAACCCATGCTGGAAGGGAGAAAAATAGTTGTTCGAGTTTAGATGATTCACTAAAGTGCTAAATATGATGTGCTCAAGCTGTTTCGAGCATGCGGGTAGAAAAGATATAGGTCGGTAGTTATCTACTTTACTCTTAGATCCACCTTTATGCACAGGCACAACGCTGGCTACCTTCCACTTTGCCGGCAGCTTTGAGGATGACAAGGATTTTGTGAAGAGAATAGAGAGATAAGAGGAAACCACGTCAGCACATTCCTCCAAAACGCGATTTGGGATTTCGTCAGGGCCAGTGGCCTTATTTATGTTCATGTTTAGGAGAAGGCTCCGAATTCCGTCAGCATTTATTTCTAAGTTCGACATTAGGGGGAGGGACTCAGCTAGAAAGTGATCGGGCGCGTCAGTGACTGGTTGGGAAAAAATGGACTGGAAATAATTATTGAAGCATAATGCTTTCTCACAATCATCAGATACCATTGCACCATTACTGTCAATTGGAGGTAATCCAGTATCCTCTTTTCTGTTACTCCCGATATATTTCCATACAGCTTTGGGATTTGTTTTTAAACGTTGTTGCAGAGAATTATGGAAGCTTTGTTTCGCCGTTTTTAGCTGCTGTTTATAGACAATATTTATTTGTTCTAGTTGCCTAAGACTCTCAGTGGCTTGGTTTTTACGATGCCGTAAATAAGCTCGTTTTTTTTCTTTATGATGGAACGCAGCTCTCCGTTTATAGAGGGCTTATCTTTGTGCTACCTTTACCGTAGTATTTTTGATGGCACATAAATATCAATTAAGAGCTTTAGTATACACGAGAATGTATTCCAAAGATCGTCCATATTTAAAGATAAACTGAGTTCCTCAAACTCCACATGAAAAGAAAATAGCTCTTCCGTCAGGCTAGAGTAAGCAACCCTGGTCATAGAAGTAAACCCTTCTGGGAACGCATTTAGAAGTTTTAGCTTGAGGGCATTTCAATTACCAATAACGACGTCGTGGTCGCTGATTACTGGCAGTACCGATACAGAAGACATAATAGCTTTTTGATTCGTAAAAAAGAGATCTAGCACACTGGCCCGTTGGACAGCAGTTCTTGTTGGCGATAATACGTTTTGATAAAGATTGCAACTTGAAATAAAATTGATGAATGAAGAATAAAGGGAAGACGTGTTAGGTCGTTCGAGGAAGACCAGATTTTCATTGCACATCGGGAAAGTTGAAATCACCTCCTAGTATCAAATATTCAGGGCAAACAGATAGCAGCGTGTCTGATATTTCTAGCAGCGACTCACTACTAGAACCCGGAGGTCTGTAAAAAGAACCGACCGTCAAAAATGCATCGTTTTGAAGTGCTACCCTACACCATACTGACTCAGCACTGTCATTCGTATTGATTCCTGTACTCTGCAAACTGTGATGAACCAAGATAAAGACCCCACCGCCATGCGTGGTTCTATCTTTGCGATAGACACAAAAATCAGATGGAAAAACCTCGGCGTTAGTAATAGAAGCATCCAACCAGGATTCAGTGCCAATGACTAGGCTAGGTTTTATTGATGCAAGAAAAGAGAAGTCATCGACCTTATTTTTTATGCTGCGACAGTTCAAAAGCAGGACGAAAAAAAGTCAAATTTGGGGGTTTTACGTGCCAAACCCACGACGGGCATCTGGCACGCCCGAGCGGAGGACTGAGGATTAATTTGGACCACCTGGGGATCTTTTGACGTGCAACAAAAGCAGGACGAGAAGATCACTCACTGAGTTACGGGTTGATGATGCCGATTACGGGATTGTTATGATTGAGCTCTAACAGACTGATTGTTATGGTCATAGAAAAAGGTAGAGTCACCGATAGTAAGCCTGTTCAAACGTAGTTTAAACCTTTCCCCTTGCGATTTCCCGAATCGCAAAAGCTGCCTTCGATCACAACGCACATTTTCGGAAAAATCCACGCTGGTCGCAATTTCAGTATTCTTGAGCTTAAATCTTAAAGATAGAAGGTGTTGTTTTGTTTTAAAAGACAAAAAAATTACAATCATGGGTCTTGGCTTGTCAGATCTAAAGCGCCTAAATTGAGTTGTTTTCTTGTATTGTGACGTACCACCTTTGAAAATGTTATATAGTTTGGTATATCGTTTCCTGCACCAAAAAGCTTACTTTTTTTTTTTCACAGAAGCAACCACAACGTTAAAGGATCTGGTTGCACCACTGCTGTGGCTTAATTCCAAACTGGGCTCCTTTACTTACGATAAGTTCTCCAAACTCGCCTACAAAGCGGTGGAAGCGAGAAGAAAAAATCCGTCGGTGAGTTTCCTTTGGGCTCGTGGGGTGAGAAACCTTCTGCTTGTCTCGCAGTCACTGATTGAACCTGGAATTAAAAATGAACAAGCTTTGTTCCTGAACCGCGTCACAGCGCTGCTGTCTATGTCATCAACATGGCAGCCCTTCCTCGAGGTGGGCGAAACTACAAAGGCTTCGATCGCCAGCGGTAAAACAAACCGGCATTCTGTTTGCACGAACCACCCCAGCTAATCCAGCGCTAAGATGGTGCCACGTTCCTACACACCCCGTTCCTCCGAACGGTCACGTAACATTCACGCGGCATTTGATTAGGTCCGATGGCTCGTAGCATTTGCCGCGCTTTATCGTATGCTGCGAAACGGAGTGCTGACTCCGGTACTTGATGTCAACAAGCCTAGCTGTCACATCCCGGCACACAGTAAATCTTCTGCTCTACACAGCACCAGCAAAACGTTTTCTTTTTTTCACTTTTTTTTGCAGGGCAATGAGAAGGTGCAATTCGTTTGATTGTCCAGTTTAAGCTAATTCTCTGCGGAATGCGGTACTCTGGGTTGGCTTAGTGGCTCTAGGGGTGATTCGGCTAGGTTAGTGTACAAAATTCAATATGAAGTACGCCTCGGAGCCTTTACGCGAGGCAAAGCGCCGGCCTACGTATCCTAAGGTGGCGTGTTTAAACCTTGGCCAAGGTGCCCGCAATCTCACGGAGAGGGCACCTTGTAACCGAGATTTCCGTTGCATGTCAAAAGATCTTCAGGTAGTCGAAATCAGTCATCAGTCCTATGCTGGTGTGTCAGATGCCCTTCGTTGGTTTGGCAGGTAAAACTCCCAAATCAGCAATTTGCAATATAAGATATCATTGTTATTTGATATTCCAGTACGTTAGGGTTATCGTGGAGAAGAATGATAAAATTAACACGCAGAGGAATAGTAAGATAAATATCAGGAATACAAAACTTATTTTTCCTTGCCGTTCTATCCATAAAGTGGTCACTCGGGAAAGTGATAAGAATTTATCTACATAAAAAACACAAATTTAGAGTGCATGCATATGGTATAAAAACAAGGGGAAATCACTTCGAAGTTTCGAAGACACTGACTTGCCAGTACAGTGTGCGTTAATCCAGGATGCTACCAAATGATTCAAAGAGTTTTGCATGTGGACAGTGTTCAACTCAATGGGGTGCTGCCCTTGAAGAAGATATTCATATAAAGCCTTGATAGCGTCCGTGTTGACTGGAAAACAAACTTGACTCCTCCATATCCATGAGAATCGTATATAGTTTGCATCAAAGTGGACGCAAGGCAGTTTGTCTTCTCATTGTAGTGTAATTGTAAATTACACTACAATGACATACAAATACAATACAAAATACAAAATTGTACATCTTGGTTTTAAAAGCGCACAAAAGACGAGGACAGAGTAAGAAACAAAAACGACGGACGAGCGCTCGTCCGTCGTTTTTGTTGTTGCTACCAACTAGCCCAACTTTCCACTCTACTACAAAATTGAAAACTATTTTGTAGTATACTCTAATATATAATGGCTGCACTGAGGAGAGTAAGATTAGAAACGTTTCTTATCTTCACAGCCACGGACCATGGATATTCTGCAAATCATGTTGGATGCTGAGACCGACGAGAGCTTCGAAGAAACCGAAGTAAAGAATGGTACGTTGCTGATATGACTTGCAATTTTTGAGTTAAGTATAAACAAAATTATGTAGCGTAATTTTGTCTAATTTTACAATAAATAATGCTCCGGAGAGGAGGTCATTAGGTCCAATTAGAATTTTACAGCCAAGTAATATATTCTCTGTGCGTGCATTTAGTGCACTGATACCCATGTACGAGCAACATACCACGTGCTTTCTTACTGGCTCTTGATTGAACGCAGCACCCCCTAGCTTTTGCTATAGTTCATTATACGGTAAAACGAAGCTAATGATTTGGTAATTTTTACCTCTGGCGATTTAACGCGAATACAAATCATTATACATTGACTCAAATTGAGAAACCTAGTTAAAATAACTAGGTTTCTAGTTATTTTAGTAAGTTTACACAACTACGATGTGTAAACTTACTAAGACAAAATAAATATAAAAAATCAGGCTATTACAACTCTGATAAAGTTGCCCAGAGAAATTAGCGTCGTTCTTTAATGTTTAAACGTTTTTATAAATTTTCTGAGATTTCTGAGTCATCGGAGCACACTAAATGCATCTTGTTGGTGATGCGTCAATGAAATAGGATTTCATATTTTCACGTGTTATCTGAATATAAAATTAGGCTGCATTTGTTTCAACACAAATTTGGTCTTGCGCATTATTTTTTTCTTGGCTTGGAAAGTCCGAAACATAAACAATGCGTGAAAAGGTATTGAAATCACTTAAAAACACGACAGTACACACAACTTGATAAACAGGTCATTTTTACACCAAGTACACCCTTCAAGAAGAAGACGTTATTAACTTAGACTGAACATTCTGCTTACCCGCAACACAAAACTTTGAGCATTATTATGTTTTGATGTAGTGTAGAAGGTTTGACAGATAATTAAAAACAAACACTACTGTGTACTCTACAGACAGACAAGCCTTTTTCATCATAATCGATGTTAACTGTTTTGTCGACAGGAGAAATCAAGGTCCAGAAAAAGCTAACCCCAACGGAAGTGTTCGTTAACACTGGGGTGTTTCTCGTCGCAGGGTAAGCGCTGTCATCAGCTAGTCGATCAGAGTCAAGTTTATTTATTCATTTGCTCCAGGTTACCTCACAGCTCTAGAAGCATCATCGCAAGAAAGGGGGAGGGGGCAGGTATATTTTCACAAAAGCAAAAAAATGCAGTATACATGTAACAAAAAAACAAAAAAAAACGCAAGCATGCAGTTAAATTAAACATTAAAGAAAATTTAGCCCGAAAGAGAACAATATTCATATTGGAAGGTCCCTTTCCAATTATCTACTGCTATTTACAACATGAATAGGAAAGAAAAAAAAATATACTGACAACAATAACGGTAACATCGCGAAAACCGCAACACGCAATATATACATTGTGATGAAAGCGTGGCTTGTTAGTGAGCCCCCGACCGACCCGCCCCAAGCGGCAAACACACCGAAGCTCGTCGAGCGTCGCCGCAAAGTGGCAGACGAATCCGTCTCGGCGTCGTCGCATGCTAGCGGGTCGACCGTTGTCGGACGCCGCAAGCCGCGCTGGCGGCGACGCTGATGCGAACTAGGCGGAGAGAAATCCGTCTGCTTCTGATTGGCTTTGATTGAAAGGATAGTGGGTAGACCTCAATGCTAGAGGCCTTGAGGTGTACCCCCTATTTCTTTCAATCAGCCAATAAGAGCTCGGCGTTCTGACATGGTCGTAACCCTTGGGTAAGAAGAAGACAAAGTTGCGCTGCGTATAGGCAGCGCTCTGTTGACCCACTAGTGATGAGGTTTGTTGTTTTAGGGAGGGGGCGGAAGCACAGGATTGTTTTCTAAGGGGTATTAGTTCAATATTCAGCCTTGCCCGTTTCGATATGAATGTGCATCGTATACCCGAGTGTGGTGATGTGTCACTACTGCGTGGTGCACTTTAATGACCCTAGACATTGGCTATGTTTCTCAACCACGGCCGCGACATCAGACGTTCGTTGGGGCTGACTAACTTCTCGCTATCTAAACAATAAATACAAGAATATTTCCATAGAGAAACTGGTGGCGTTGATCCTACCCAGACAGTTAAAACGCATTTTTTTTTCCTTTTTCTTTTTAGAGCTAACTGCCGTCTTTAAGAGTATTTGATTGTCGACATTCAGTAAGCTTTCTGGCTGCAGTGACTGAGAGCGTTAAATTGTTACCTTCATCTTGACCAGGTTTGGAACCACTTCTGTGGCACTGAGCAATCTAAGCTTCGTCCTTGCCAAATACCCCGAAGTGCAAGACAAAGTCAGAGAGGAGGTCAATGCTGCCATGAGAAAACACGTGAGATTTTGCTTCTCAATCATGTTGTTTGATAATGGACAGTCCTGGCAAAAGGAACGAATTTGATGGCTATGTCGCATTTGGTTTGTGCGATAAGTAGCGACACGACCCGTGAAAATAAATGCAGGACTCGTAACTTGTAAATTAGCGCCTAGTGAAATAGAAATGGGCGACTAATAGTAACATAAAGTATTAGTACGCGAGGAAAAAAACATTTAGTCTGGTGTGATTGTGCCCTAAAAAAACAAATGAATGTGAAGAAAGGTGAATTACAAATTACTTCGACAAACAGTGAACGTCAACGAGCGCTATAAAGTACAGAATCAAAAATCGCATGTCAAAAAAAATAAAAAAACATGAAAACCCTTTATGTTGTTTACATTAGCAAGATCACTTCGTTTCTCCTCAACATGGACTAAGCTCTGCTAAAGACCACGAGCGCCAGCTAATGTGAATGATGCTCCCGCCGCACGATTGTTTGTTCAAACCTACGGGCAATCTGACATGCAAGACGAGTAGTGTACGGCACTCGCTTCTGCATATTTTAAGTTACATTTAGCATGACGACAGTTGGGCTGCAAGACGAATGGTTAATTTGACAGGGTGTTTATTAGCATTACATTATTTCAGGAAGCTGAACTTGACTCGTCAAATTATAGTTCACTGGTCAATAAGTGTTACCGCTCCGGATAGTTAACCACCACTATGTGTCGGAATATAAAGCAGAATCTAGAAGCGTTCGGTTATAATTAGGAAAATGCTCTAAATGTTAAGGTTCGTACTGCAGCGGTGAGCAGTCACTGATGTGGTCTTCTATTTTTGTCAACAATTGCCGTCGTTGCAGGGCCACATCAACTACGCCGCTGTCACCGAAGACCTCAAGTACCTCTCTAACGTCGTGGACGAGACTCTCCGCATCTACCCCGTAGTCGTAGCGTACGTACAATCTGAAAAAAAAAAAAAAATTCTTTTTTTTTTTAATATTTTTATTGTTCTTGATCATGCTATTCGCTAGCTGCAAACACGTGCAACTAATCCTCGTTCTTTAGTTTCAGATTTCGGCCGCTAGGCTACACTAGTCTTTGCTGCGCACTTAAGTGCGCAGCAAAGTGCTCATGTCACGATTAGAACACGAGGACTTAATGCAGCGAGCGGATTTTCCCGAGCAGTGCTTTCTTTGAGGGCTTTTTATGTCGCAGAGGTGTTACGTACCTCACAACGTGGTGCAGGTTAAAGATCCCTTGAGAGGGGTTGTACTGCACTGGGTAAATTTCTCATCTACAGCTGAGACACCAGACGCACAATAGGGCTGACAAACTTCCGGCTGAATAAACATTCACGTAACATAATTTTCGCCAAGTTTTGAAATTTGTATTCTACAGTTCTGAGTATCTGCAAAAAGTGCGTTACTAAATTTTCTCCGGATTTTAATTGTTTATTTTTTTATTTAGTGCGCTAACATTAATCGGCGTTGTCCGCAAAAGTGTGACTGTTTTGCGTGAGGTGATTTCTGATTTCCAAAACAGTATATTTTATTGAGGGTGTGTAGAACAGAAATATATAAGTACCTCTTTCTGAATCAAATTTTTGTAATTCCGAATCTTAAATAAATGTATCTGTATGTACTTTTCGGAGACTAAATTTATGCCATGTTAAATTGACCTGAGTCTGTGGTAGAAACGAAACATTGAAACGTAGAAGGGACAAAATATAGACACCAGTCTATCTTTCTACACCAGTCTCGGGACAGTTCAACAAGGTTAATATTCACCAGCTCGCCTGCACCCTTACTAAATTTGCTCGGGCGTTTTATGGTTTCTCAGGAAACACAATATCGCATGTATAACTATGCAATAAATTGAACAGGAACATTATCGTCAAAAAATAAGCATTTCTATAGCTTAACTTCCAACACCGTAAGACGGCCGACAAATTTACCGGTCTCTGTTCCGCACTTTTTGACACCGCGGCAGTACGTTACAAAAATGCTAAGTATGGCGGTTTAGGTAACGTTCGCCACGCTTAGAGAAGATTAGTTACGTGTCGTCGTCAGCGAGACGGTGGTCAAGGGTCATCGGGGAGACGGTAGTCAAGTGCCCCAGACACGATCAAGTGGTGTGACGTCATACTAGGACGTGACAACGTGTTCATGGGACGCTAACCCAGAGCGGCTTGAAACATGCCGCAGGTCACGCGTCTCCCATATTTATATATATAATTGAGATAACCTGACCTGCTTTCTAAAATATTTTAGGCCCGCGTGGCGTTAACGACGCCATACATAAATTGGCGTCTTGTAGACGCAGTTTTTCTTCTACCATATTTTTGTGGTGTACAGACTAAAAAAAAAACGAGTAGCACTGGTTTTCCTTTTTTTTTTGCATTTAGGTTCAACACACGATCGGCATTAAACGACTTCGAGTATGAAGGCGTCAAGTACAAGGCGGGACTGAGCATCATGTCCCCTACCATCGAGATACAAAAAGATCCGAGATTCTGGCCAGAACCTGAAAAGTTTGATCCGGACAGGTGAGAACTGCTCGTTTCGATATTTAATTTTATTCGTAATGCACCGCGGAAAAAAAAGCGTTTAAAATAGGCTATCGAATTTGTTTAACATTGCTCTTTTTTTTTTTTTTTTCGCTACCGAGATTCGGTGTGGGATAAAGAGGTAAAGCTAGAACCGATCTCGCAAATGCTGAAGAACAAGTGCATTTAGTCTAATGATACACAGTTCTATTTCTACCTGGTAGATGGAGCTACCATACTAGTGTGTTCCCACGTCATAAGCGAACGCAAGGACACGCTCTGTCGCAGTCCAACTCGAGTGTGTGAACCAGTATTTATTGCCGCGGCGAGGCTCCCAATACATCATACAAAGGACCGTCTGCAGGCATTGCGTCTGTCGCGGGTTCCTTTCTTGCATGACTGTCCCGTCATTCTGTTCATAGAAAAAAAAAAAAGACTTTTAGCCTTTGCATTTAGGCGGAGAACGACCAGCGAAGGTTTGTACTATGGTGGGAATGAAGTAACGGCCTTCCGCAAGTCGGCAAGCCAGAATGGAAAAGCTGGAAAGGTTCCCACCATTTATGAGCGACGGCGGCAAGCAGACAACCGGCAAACACAACACTCTGGACAGCTACCGCCATCTATGAGCGACGGCGGAAACCAGAGTGTTGTGTCGACATTTGTTTGGTACCGGACACGATCCTGGGGAACCTAGCACTTAACGGCTCCGCTGTAAAAAAAAAAAATCTCTACATACATGTTTAGGGCATCGATGTGTAAGAAGTAAACCAGCATCGAACATGATGTAGGCTTTTCCACGGATAATATTACTGTCATCATGTATGAAGCGAACACAGCGTATTTTGTACTATCAATGAACAATGTGACTGTGGCTTTAGTGTGCAAAGCCTTCTACCCTTAACACAATTTGCCACCAAAGTTTGTTTTTTACTCACTACTTTGAAATTGAGCGAGCAAATCTGCAACGCGTACATAAATGGTTCCGTCATTGCGATTTTGTTTTCTGTGCTGTTCTTGCAGGTTCCTTCCGGAGAACGTGGCCTTGCAGCACACCATGGCCTACCAGCCCTTCGGTCAGGGACCCCGCAATTGCATCGGCAAGAGGCTGGCGCTCCTTGAGACCATCTACACGGCGGCACGGATGGTGAACGAGTTCCGCTTCGAGCTTGGAGAGTCTCAGAAGGTATGCGGAAGCAAGGAGCTGATATTTGGTCCGTAGAGTTTTCGGTATGTTAATTATAAGAGAAATTCGGCGGATGATTTTCGATTTTTATGTATCGTTCGAATGTCGGTGTATTTCGGTGATCATTTTGCGACGGACGCTAAAAATTGCGATTACAGGTAAACAAAAATTTCGTAAAAACACTTACAGTTTGAAATGGGAAAGCTTCGACGAAATTAGTCTTGAACAAAAGTTTCCAGGAATCAGTTTTCGGCTTTAACCAATTTTAAGTTTTTTAAACGAACGGATGCTTAGATTTTGTTTGTTATAAGTGATTTTGTATTTTTTACACCGATGAATGTTTATTTGTGTTTTTCGGTGGAAAGAGGAAATTCTACGGTTTAGTTATGTTAGGCATGGAGGTGTCGTTCGTATACTTTTATATAAGGCGGTTTCACGTGACGTTCTTTCGGGCCGAAACTCGCCGGATGCCATGCTAATGCATTTTAGCGGTATGTCTTTGACTGCTGAGCGCGCATAATTGTGCTGCGTTAGGGCCACGGTCCCACTGAATGTGGCAGTTTAGGTACTTTTTGGCAGGTGATTACTCATCTCCTTCTAAATACTGTTTTGTGGGGTTGATGTCATTCGAAAGGCAATGCAATCCTCTTTCATTTGATATTATGTATGTGTTGGTTTTTACTGTTCATGCGCATTTGTAGCGTTGCGAATATGATGGCGCGGACCCTCACTTGCTCCGCTAGTTCATGTTTTATGAATGATCCATTAAAGATTACACGGTTCCAATAAACCAGTTTTGTTAAGATGATGTCTGAGCAGAATGTAACAATACACCTTTTTGGTATTTGCACTACTTTGTTTTTTTCATCCCTCCAAATATTGCCCTAAAATTGACATTTTTCAGCACAAAGATATTTTTAATAACACGCGCTAGGGCAATGAAATTAGCTACAGATGTAGTTCTTATAATTGGTAATATGCAAAAAAATTTAATGTTGTGTAAAATTTTTTTGTTTAGATAGTTTATGTCAAACGTAGCACTTTTTTGTGCTTCGAGTCATGGTACTTCAAATGCCGCTGAGGAAATAATTAAACTATGATAAAATCTTTTATAAACTTTAGAGCTACAATGGTTGCCCAAGAGGTGGACGATGGGTTTTTTTCGTTTTCAAAGTCATAACGCTCCAGGAGCGTTTCAAACTTACCTGTTTTTACGCATATCTTTTTTGGACATCAAACAGATTTATTGGCATCTAATAATATTTCTTGTTTGGAATAGATATACATTGCGATGTATTAAATTTTCACAATGATCTTGCTTTGGTTTCTTAATAGGTGTAGAGCTTAGCTAATTATAAAAACAATTAAAAACTGTTTGGGTGTTTGTTGCGCTACCTGGCGGATGGCAGACAAACTACTGATTTCTAATGTTCAAAAAATTTCCCAGGGCGGCGTTGGCGTCTGTATCATCATTAATCTCCGTGTCTTTCTACCCTCGCATTTAAAAAATATATTGGAAGATTTACTATCGATAACTGAATGGTTTAGGTACTGGGTCAGGCTAATAAATCTAAGACAAATAATTACACAAGCGTAGCGTGATATAATGTGTTCATTATTCGATATGATTGATATCAATAAACAATGAAGACGAAGAGGAAAGCAATATACCCGAGTTCACTTCGTGCCTAGAGCCATCAAATGAGCTGCGCTTAGAGTATCGGCACTCCGTCCCCCAACATTGTTGTGGGCGCCGCCATTTTGGGTCTTGTGCAGAGCAAACGCAACTGCCGATCGTCATGATCCAAAAGTACGACTTCCTCAGCATTAGATGCGGTGCTAGGAAGCTGATGCAATATTTCAATGCTCTGTCGCGGGTTGTTTAAACATTTGTGAGGGACTGAAAAGCGTTTCCTGTGTTTTAGATAAAGCTTCATATAACTGGCAACCATAATTTTAAGCCACAATATGGTCAAGTGTCGTTACTCTGAACCGTAGCTAATTTACTGGCACAAGCGGGAACAATGAAGAAGAGGCAGGTCTCAAAAGGTAGTGGATTGTGGAATCCACGGGGCTTACGTCATGGCCCCTCCAGGTATTACAAGCGTCTTGAACAAGAGCATGAATAGTGTCATTAAATAAGCTACGCTTCAGAGTAACGACACTTGGCCTTATTGTGGCTTAAAATCATGGTTGCCAGTTATTTGAAGCTTTATCTGAAATCACAAGAAACGCTTTTCCGTCCTCCACTTTAAACAGTTTGCGACAAAGCAAAGCAACATTACATGAGCTTCCTAACACCGAATCTAATGCTGAGGATGTCGCACTTTTGAATCATGACAATCGGCAGTTGCGCCTGCTCTGCACAAGCACCAAAATGGCGGCGTTCACAACACTGTCGGGGAAGAGAGTGCCGATACTCTAAGCGCAGCTCATTTATTGGCTCTAGTTCCCGCAAAACTCCTTTTCCCTGACTGAAACTGAAAGTAAATATGAATAATACACCATTATTATAGCTTATTTAGTTATAACCAAATACACATAATGAGCGGAGAAAGCGGGCGGGTAGGAGAAACGCGGGTTTTATGTGCGACCGTTCTAACCGTCTCAAAAAAGAGAACGCACGAGCTTGCGCTGGTTTAAAAAAAAAAAAAGGCATTCAAAAACAACAGGCGGCACGCTGTGTTCTTTGTTATTACGCGTCTAATTGCAAATTGTTGTGTGTGCGTTTATACAGCCGGAAGTTAGTCTGCCTTAGTGGGCGTCTGGTGTCTCAGCTGTAGATGAGCACTTTAGCCAGTGCGGTACAACCGCAAACCTGGGGTCTTTAACGTGCACCACTCAGTAGTGATACACGACCGCACGCCGGTACGATGCCCTTCTAGATCGAAACGGGCCGGGGCGGGGTGGGTTCTGCAGCGCGAGCTTTCGCTCCAAGTGCTCCGAGCCGGCGTGCGCTAGACCATGCACTCGGCCACCGACCCCCCCCCCCCCCCCTTGTGCGTCTAATTTATATACAGGTATAAGTATTTGAAGATCGACGATGGACGTCGATCGTCTCGAGGTAATGTAACGTAATAACATTATATAAATAATAAACTTGTTGAAAAACTGAACGACTAAATTTTTCAATTCTTGGATTGTAATATGGCGGTAGCCTATTGTACTTACTGTTGGTGAAGAGCAATATGAGGAGACGAGGTAATGACTAAATGATGAGGCTCTATAAGGACGACGACATTAGTGCGTGTCGAACCACAACATACAGTGCCAGACTTGTTTCAAGTATCGTGTACCCAAAGACTTTCTTCACCCGCAACAGTATATGGTAGAATCATTGAGGATGCTGCTTTACAACTGTACGTGGAACAGGAAAACTGCACTGTGCAGAAGTGCGGCTTATTCGTTAATATGAGGGACGGATTTCTAGCAGCATTTCCTGATTGACTACTTGAAACAAATGGCCTCGTTGACATAAAGTGTCCCCGTTCCAAAAGATTCTTGAAGCATACTTAAACCGCAAAGGAGTATGAGGCGAAAAATAAGAAAAAGGAACCTGGTGTGAAAGGTCCAAATCACCACCATAGCTTCTTCTATCATATACAAGGGCAGCTACACAATACAAAAAGAGAGGTTTGTGATTTAGTTATATTTACACTTAAGGGCATTGATATCCAACGTATTCAGAGAGATGACACCTCCTGGTCAACAAACATAGAGCCTTTTCTACTCAAATTTTACATGGAAGGCCCGACATCCGCTGAAATTCCTCACGTAGACAAGTTGTCCGACCGAATAAACTGCCATTGCTCCCAATCTGGGAATCTCGCGATCTTTGTTCGTAGGCCATAGTATCATGAGATCGAGGGGTGTGGCTCTTCGTCCGCCGAATATTGCTTCGGCTGGTTTTTTTTCTGTGTAAGATGAGGCCGTCGCGTGCTGCCGGAACAAGAACCTGGCGATTCTTCACTGAACTGCTTCTTCCGTAAGCTTCAAAAGGACTTTTTTTCGTTTCGCACACCATCTGTTCTGCTTGCCCGTTAGTTGCAGGATGGTATGGTGCACTAATGTGATGCCTGATGCCGGTTTTTTTTCTTCAAAAACTTGTTTATTTTACTGAAGCAAGATTTGGCGCGTGATCAAAGAAAAGTATTTTCGGTAGGGCAAAAGTAGGTAAAATAGACCGTAGAACGTCAATGACGTGTTTGGACGTCGTGGCAGGCACCGTGTAAACTTCCAGCCACTTAGAGTACGCATCGCCCATGACTCCGCAGATGTGGATACGTTTCGCCACCCACCGACTGAATAGTGGATTGTTTTCAGTTACTGTTCATGATGGCGTTGGACTCAAGGAAGACTTCGAGTCTTTCCACAAAGCTAGCCCAGGTGCCAGGACTTTTGTCGAAAGCGGTATGTGTTCGAAATGTCGACAACGTCGGTAGCCACGTGTTGTGCTTGACATTGGACACTTACCATTCGCTGAGAAGAAACTTGCTTGTTCGTCTGCCATGAGTCGCCCGATATCAGGTCACTGCAACACCATCTCCCGACAAAACTGGTCTTCATTGTCCGCATGTCCATAGTTAGCAATCATGTCAACTTATAAATTCCCGAACGCTCATAACTTGCCGTTGCTAAACACCGTTCATTCATAGTGTCTTCATTGCAAATAAACGTCTTCCTATTTCTTCTGATGGTTTTCATCATATTCCCCCTAAGCAGAACTTACAACATTATGTGTGTCAGTACTTACGAAAATATTGCAACGACGTTTGTTTTCTGGGAACTATAATGTAACAACCTTTACATCTTCCAGATCCCGTGAAACATAATATTTCGTGACCTTTTTTTAGTCGTCATTAAAATGGTGAGGTAAGTACCGTAATTCGCGAAGCAGTTTACTTGACGTCCGCTTCCACTGGTGTCTTGGAAGATTGAGTCTACTCAGCGTGCATTCCTGCAGAGGAATGTTTCATTGATAGAATATTGACACGTCAATC